CTCCTCCTAAGCTGCAGGGCCTCACAGATGCCAGTTGAGTTAAAGCCCTAGAAGGCAGGTGGAATTGGCAGTTGAACCTGAAGCTGACTCAACACTCCTGGCACGGTGGAGGGAGGAAGTTCTAGGTTTGCTCGTCCCCACAATGGCAGCTGAGGTTGTATTCTCAAACTTTGAATGAGATTAGGTTTGCATCACATGTCTTGGAAAAGGAAACTAGACCTTGGCATAGCAGGGAAGCTGACCCGTAAAACTCTCCTGGAGATCTCAGCCTGGGAACCAATGACTACATGCTAATATGCATTCATCCTTCTGCTCACTTGTTCAAGTATTTACTGAGTTCCCTTTGGTACCAGACATAGTTCTAGGCTATGGGGATATGAAGATAAAAATCTCTGTTTTCAAGGTAATCTTATTCTAATGAAGAGCCAAGTAGTGAGATCCTTAAAATATAGAGTGAAAGGTATACGCTAGAACATACATTTCCAAGGGGGGCAAAAATTGGTTCTTAAAATTGGTTCTTGTGGTATCTTGGATATTACATTATGACAGTTTGTGGCCCTCCAAATCTCAATCATACCTGATTGAATTCTAGTTCTTAATATTTAATTTCTCTCATTAAGGATAATTTTAAAATAATTTCACTCTTCTCGTTATTTGAGAGCAAGAATGAAAATAAAAGTTTAGAAACATCAGAAGAATGCACAGGAGCTGTGGGTCTCATAGGAAAGCCTCTAGCCCCTCCAGCTAAGCCACCAGGAAGCCTTTCTGAAGGATGAGACTCTGAGCCAAGCTTTAAAGTAAAAGTAGAAATTCTACAGGATAACAAATGAGAGAAAGGTGTTTGTGCATAGGGAGTAACAGGTGCACAGGCTAAAGATGTTAGAAAAGTGCTATTTAAGGAATTGCAGTGGTTCTATGAAGAGAGAATTTAGCAGATTGGATTGGGATGGGGGAGGATGGTGTGACCCTCTGGGGGCCAGCTCAGCTCTTGCAAAGGGGTTGTATTTTATTCTTAAAGAACTGAGGAACCAATAAAAAGCTTTAAGTAAGAGAGTAACATTTCAGATTTATGTTTTAAAAATATTCTGGGGAGGAAAAAGAAGAAATTTTATGTTGGCAGCACTGGTGAAAATAGAAGTGGGGAGGAGGGGCAAAGGCTGGATCCCAAGCAGGAAAACTGTTTAGGAGGAAGCCATTGCTATGAAAAACTGGGCAAAGCCAAGATGGGGTCCTTCTCAAGAGCAAGTGGTAGTGGGATGCCTTGGAGAGCTTGCCTCGTGGGCAGACAGGCCATATGGTCTGGAAAAGACTGTGTGTGGGCAGCCATCACCACCCTCTATGAAAGGAAAGCCAGAGTAATTAAATATCTGTTTACACAAGGCATCCACATAGGGCTTTCTAAGGGAAATGATATTATTTTCTTTTTCAAAAGCTTGTTATTAAATTCAAAATATATACAAAAATAAAAATAGCATAATGAATCACCATGCATCACCCAGTGTTAACAGCGATTTGTTTACAACCAACCTTGCTTCATCTCCCCTCTCAGTCTGGTTTCCCCACCTCACCAGTGGAGTTATGAAGAAATTCCAGGCATCATCTCATCTTTTTACTATTACTAACGTATGCCTAAAAAATACTTTTTTAAAACATATAACTAAATAACATCATTAGCAATATTTTTAATATGATAAAATAGTCACTCAATGTTCACATTTCCTTGATATATATAAAATCCTAATTAAAACCAACTGTTTTTTTAAAGCAATCTATCCGATAGAAAAAATAGACAGCCTTTTTTTTTTTTTTTTTTTTTTAAAAGAGGGAGCCTTGCTGTGTCGCTCAGCCTGGAGTGCAGTGGCACAATCTCAGCTCACTGCAATCTCTACTTCCCAGGCTTAAGCAATTCTCCTGCCTCAGCCTCCTGAGTAGGTGGGACTACAGCACGTGCCACCACACCCAGCTAATTTTTGTATTTTTAGTAGAGACGGGGTTTTGACATGTTGGACAGGCTGGTCTCAAACTCCTGACCTAAGGTGATCTGCCTACTTTGGCCTCCCAAAGTGCTGTGATTACAGCCATGAGCCACTGTGCCCGGCCAACAGATATCTTTTTATAACAGTTGGTTTTAATTAGAATCCCAAATGATCTACTCATTGCTTTTGGTTGTAATATCTCTTAAATCTCCGTTTTCTTTCTTTCTTTCTCTTTCTTTTCTTTTCTTTTCTTTTTTTTTCTTTCTTTTTTTGAGACAGAGTCTCGCTTCATCACCCAGGCTGGAGAGCAGTGACATGATCTCAGCTCACTGCAACTTTCACTTCCTGGGTCAAGCAAGTCTCCTGCTTCAGCCCCCAAGTGGCTGGGACTACAGGCGCAAGGCACCACGTCTGGCTAATTTTTGTATTTTCAGTAAAGACGGGGATTCATCATGTTGGCCAGGCTGGTCTTGAACTCCTGACCTCAGGTGGTCCACCGCCTTGGCCTCCCAAAGCGCTGGGATTACAGGCGTGAGCCACCACACCCAGCCAAATCTCCTTTCTCTTTTGTGTTTCTGGCAATTTATTTGTTAAAGAAAACATAAATCAGCTTCCATTTCTGTCATAATTTAAATAGAGCATCACGTCATCCTGTTTCCACCCCAATGTAATCACAAGAATGTGTCCTTCTTGTTAAGATGTACCATTTCCTAGATTCGCATCTCCATCACTGTCTAAACTCATTGGGTGCCCTAACAATTGCCTTCTAGTCAGTGAGTACTCGGATGCCAATAAAAAAAGTCCCCAAATAAGGCAACCTGAAACAGACTATCTTAAAGCCATTTACTTCATCTCTGATATTATTTTGTCATCTTTGTGTCGCAAGTTACATTGTCGAAAAATAACATGGAATACTCACTCGTGGTTGCCTGCAGAATGAGCTGAATAGAACCAGGTGCCCCCCTTCTCCCAATGAATGGCGCTACCGCCAACTCTCCTTCCCATGGACCACTTTTTGTTTTCATCTGAAGCATGGTTTCCATGGATACTCCCACTAGTTCTTGGGTCTCCAGGTCCTGGGCAAGCATCCTTCTCCCCAAAACCCATAAAGAGCGGATGCTCCAACCCAAAATGCTTGGCACCCATTGACAAGTTTGTGCTCATGCTTGCCTTATACAGAGAGCAATAAGGGGTCAAGGTCTTTCCTATGGCATACACATCTCCACTGAATGGCCCACACAGAGTGTCCAGCAGTAACTAATGTTTAACTATGCCAGGGATTACTAATCAAATGACTCATTCAGAATTTCATCCAGAATATAGTTGACGATGAGGGCTGCAAAGTACATGCAATCTATCCAATAGTGCTCTGTTCATTTAGGTCAAAGCCAGCTCTGAAAGGTGACAAAACATCGTACTGTAGGAAAATTTAGACTTTTGACTTCTGCCCGTTATTCAGTTACCCTCTATCTTGATGCTTCTCTCCGGAGCCCTTAGGAGATAATCACCAGCCTATTGGCCACAACTTCAGCATCAGCCCAGAAGAAACTTGTGAACCAGCAAACAGAGCTGTTTTAGGCTTGATATGGGAGCTTCTCAGCTGCTAATGTAAATTTGATCCCAGTGTTGAAGATTTTGTGCCCTAAAATGTTGACTTAAGCATTGCAGTGTGTGGTGGATGGTCTTTAGTTCTGAATGTGTGGCGCAAATACGTTGAGTAGAGCACTCAGAAAGTGGAAGTGGTGGCTGCATTCAAAACTCCCAATCTATGGCCAGAAGTGAAGTAAGTGCCGGCAAGAGAGGACACATTGCTTCCTACATGACTCGATAGACCCTTCATTTTATATTCATCCTAATTCTTCACTGAAAACACAATTAATTGAACTGTTAAGTCTTGCTTTTCCTCCTTATTTTAGGGTTTCATATTGTAAATGAACAGCTGCTCACTGCAAAAATGTGGCCGTGTTAATACTTCACTAGGATGTAGTCTGACTGTAAAAGCTGACTGTTTTGTTAAAGTAGCCACTGAACCATTTCATTGTATCCTCAGGTGCAGAAATGAAACAGTTCCTTAACCATTCACAGCTCCCAGGCCCAAGGAATAAAACAAGAAATGCCCAAGAACTTTAAGCATGTCAGAAGCAAATTTGAATTCTGAGACTTCTTATTTGCAACCCTGACACCATCACAATACCCACCATGTTGAAGGCGGCCCATGATATCTTTCTGGCCAGTGCTTTAGGCAGAGCACATTCACAAGTGTCTTCCACTATAATAATGTTGAATAGCCAAAATTAGTTTATGACAGCATGGCAGCCTGGTCTATGCTGTTGAAACATAGTTTACAACAGCTTTTACTCCATTGAAAGAGGAGAGATGATCATTCAAACTTCCACTTTAATATCTGTAATTCACTGATAGGACTCACATTAGAAGATAGTAAGTGGAATGATGTGTAAGAGATTCTAGATTTCTTGCTGTTGTCTTCAAGTTTACTTATCTAAGTTCCACTTAACCATATACATGTTATCATTTGTTCCAACCCTTAGCAAAATCCACGTTTCTATATCAAAAGTTAGCTCGCATGTAAAGCTTCAAATGGAAACAGCATGACCCGATGTCTTCTTTGTTACTGGGTGACTCTCTCCTCTCAAATTATAATACCTCCTCAGCCATATGTTTATTTCACAGGTATTTACTGCACACTTACCAAATGCTAGGTAAGCACTGTCCTAGACATGGACACAGTTGAAAGGTCCTGCAGCCCCAGTTGGGCAGATCTCACACATTTAAAACATAAGTCATTAGGCAGTGTTCCTCTCCCCTGGCACTGACAATGACTGTATCTCTGTATTTGAATGTAAGATCCTACTAAGGAAATGCTGTTCCCCAAAATAATTGTTTTCTGAGACATGATACTTCGACGAGGATGTTTTGAATTCCTACTTTATGTGTGAATCTATGTGTCTTACTCTTTTGCCTTTTCCAAAGAAATCAATTATAATTCCTTGGCATTTATTGCAGATGAGCAAGAAAGTTCCGGAGCAATTATTTACACCGTGGAGCTGAAACGCTATGGAGGGCCCCTTGGCATCACAATTTCAGGAACTGAAGAGCCGTTTGATCCTATAATCATTTCAAGCCTCACTAAAGGGGGATTAGCTGAAAGGTAAAATTTGAAGTAACTGTTATAATTACCTGTGTGAGATGGGCTTCCTTCCTCACAACCACATAAAAACAAGCTCCTCTCTCTGTGGTTATCTGTTGGCTTTTAAAAATCTGCACAAAGGATTGATCTTAGAGCTTGAGAACTCTCAGGCAGAGCTCCGACTTGACTCTGAGGGGCATCTTACAGGCGGTAAACGATGTCATGGGCTTAGCATTGATACTACTCTCTGAAACATATAAACTGACCACAATTGACTGAAGATGGGTTTGTATTGTGTCCATTTTGAGAGGAGGAAACTAAAGTTCAGGGAGGTTGAATGGCTTGTCCAATTTCATTCAGCAAACACTTGCTGAGCCTCTGTTACCTGACGGGTGCTGCACTTAGCTGCTGTGCTTTCAGAAGAGGGTGATACAGACACCATCTTATGGGAACAAAGTGTAGCGACCCATTTTAATAATGTCTTAAAATCTGGAATGTCCATTTTTTGCTTTGGCAATGATGTATACACACACACCCACTCTGCACCCTCTGCTAAACTGCATTTCTTTCTGAGATGTGTTGTCAGACATATGACAAACCCTACAGGCAAATCTGTCCTTCAGATCTGTCCTTCCAACCTAGCTCAGGAATACACAAATGCATTGTTCCTGCTAACAACTGAAAACAGTGGTTAGCAAAATAGAGACACAGCATTGCAGAATGTTGGAGCTGCAGTGTACCTTAGAAATTAGCTCATACAGGCTGGGCGTAGTGGCTCACACCTGTAATCCCAGCACTTTGGGAGGCCGAGGCGGATGGATCACAAGGTCAGGAGTTCAAGACCAGCCTGGCCATCATGGTGAAACTTCATTTCTACTAAAAATACAAAAATTAGCTGGGCATGGTGGTGCATGCCTGTAATCCCAGCCACTTGGGAGGCTGAGGCTGGAGAATTGCTTGAACCCCGGAGGCAGAGGTTGCAGTGAGACGAGATCGCGCCACTGGACTCCAGCCTGAGTAACAGAGCGAGACTCCATCTCAAAAAAAAAAAAAAAAAATCTGCAGAAAGAAAGGATGCTCCATGCTATCCACTACATTTGTATTTGGATTTTTAGGGGACTTACCCCATGACTCAGCTTTCTTGGAATTGAAAAAGCACACAAGTTCATTTTAATAACTAATTAAAACAGTTTTTAAAATGTTTTTGGAAACTAAAAAGTAATACACAACATATGCAGTGATCTTATAACATTTCCCAGAAGAAAGCAAGAGGGACTTCTGGAGATCCTTGCCAAGTCTTTATGATGATGAATGTATAAGGTATGTCAGGGAATTTATATTCAGTACCACACAGGGATTATTTCTACCTCTCCTATTACTATTTGGTGTTTCAGAACTGGCGCAATCCACATAGGAGACCGAATCCTAGCCATCAATAGCAGCAGCTTGAAAGGGAAGCCTCTGAGTGAAGCCATCCATTTGTTACAGATGGCAGGAGAGACTGTCACCTTGAAAATTAAGAAACAGACAGATGGTGAGTAGTGAGTTGAAAGCCACAATTAAGGATTTCCAGTGCATTTTCTTCCTTGAAAGAATGTGCTAGTGTCTGTGTGTGATTCTAGGGAAACGAATCTCCAGCAACAGAGTATTTTGGTATATTTTTATTTAAATTTACTCTGATACTTAAACTCCTTTCCTGTCTATGAAGCCCAGTCAGCATCGAGTCCCAAGAAGTTCCCCATTTCTAGCCATTTGAGTGACCTGGGGGATGTGGAGGAGGACTCCTCGCCAGCGCAGAAGCCAGGCAAGCTGTCCGACATGTACCCTTCCACAGTGCCCAGCGTGGACAGTGCTGTGGATTCATGGGATGGGTCTGCAATAGACACCAGCTATGGAAATCAAGGTATGTCTTTACTTTGTCCCCAGAGGACTTGTCATTGTTGAAGCCCATGCTTCTTCAAGATTCATCCTCTGCTCCATGAGGAGAATATCTTTATTTAACTTGTGTCTGCTTTGGTGTAGCCATATTCATATTGAACACATTGAATACTTACACTCAGCCATGCATTTCCTTCTAGTGCTTATAAGGCATGAACCTTTACCAAACACTAACAGGCCTCCGTTAGGTCTACTGATGGCCAAGTATCCCATCCAGAGCTTATCCTTCAAGCTTAGATTAATGTGAGGCAAACCATACAATAAAGTGGCTTGTTCAATACAGGCCCCATTGTCTTATTTTTCAGCAAGCTTTCCACAAAGATGGATTGGGGAATTCAGAAGAGTTGCATAAGAGATTAGCCAATGATTTGTGACTCTATTTATTGCTGCCCACTCCTGACTTTTTTTTTTTTTTTCTTTTAGAGACTGGGTCTCATTCTGTCACCCCAGCTAGAATACCCTGGCACCATCACAGTTCATTACAGCCTCAAACTCCTGGACTCAAGGGATCTTGCTACCTCAGTCTCATCTCCTCAGTAGCTGAGACTATATGCAGACACCACCACACCCAGCTGATTTTTAAATTTTTGTAGATATGGGGTCTTGCCATGTTGTCCAGGCTGGTATCAAACTTCTGGCCTCCAGCAATCCTCCCATCTAGGCCTCCCAAAGTGCTGCAATTACAGGCATGAGCCACCATGTCCTTTCCCTGAATGTTTATAATTAGAGCGTTATAATCACAATATAGGAAAGTATAGAGTAGATTTTTCTTCATAGGTGTCATTGTCATGTGAAGAAATACTATCCACATTAAAAAGCCTCACTCATGGAATATAAACACATAAAAGGTGTCAGACTGATTACAGAGCAGAAACTAATAGCTTCTTTTAAAAAATATTTTCTTCCCAGTGATCCATGGCATCAAAAAGAGAAGTGTGTCAAAACTTCTTGGTATTTCTCCTCATCTGAGCCTTACCTTCTCCCGTGTTCTATGTAAATTCCAGCCTCTGAATCCCTTGTTTGCTCTGGGTTTCAGTCAGTCAAATAATAAAACACATAAACAGTTTAGAAAACACATTGGTGTGAGGGCTGCTTTGTCACGGAGTTAACTGTACTTTTAGGAGAGTCTGTATCCAGTTTGCTCTCTCCTGGTTTTCCTAGTTTCCTTCTCTCAGCCTGCCTATGTTGTGTCACTCTCTGTTAAGTCCTCTGGTAAACAAACAAACAAAAAAATATATGGAAGGGAGAAAAAACTGGAAAAAAAATGAAAGGAGATGACATTTCAAAGTTGTCAAGTTGTTACTTTCATTAGAGATGATACTGGAGTTGGGTGCGGAAAATACTTTGAACACCTAAATGGAATTGGGGCTTTTATTTATCTGGCAATTAATTTTTCCAAGTCATAATACCTTGTGACAAGTTCGCCTATGCCACCAATAACAGACCTTCTGATTGCCTGAGAATTGATGGGCCACCAGAAGACACTGAGTAAAGGACAGAAGTCACATTCTGTCAGAGTAGACTCAGGTTTATTTATCAATGTATTGTGTATTGGTTATTTATTCATGTATTATTTGTGTGTTGCTTATTAATGTAGAGATATCTTTGTTACACAGATTTTTGTGAGGGTGCTATTGGTATTAATGACTTCTTCCCCATAAGGTGATCTGGAAGAACTTAGCTACTCCATTCCCTGAAACCATAGAAAAAGGACCATGAGAAGCAAACTGAATATAGGACCTGCCCCTCATTAGTAAAAGATTAAAAACCGTTTGTTATTTGTGAAACATTTTGAAATTTTGAATCATAGTCACAATATTACATTTTGCATCTATAATTTAGACATTTTATGAGGTTGAAGGGAACTAAGGGATAAGTAGAGACAATGGCAATCAGGATAGAATTGAAGTACTCCAAGGTAATGAAAAAGTAGTAATAACCCTTTATATATGTAGAACACTCTAGAGTTTACAAAGCACTTTCGTATAACTAATCCCCATTAATTCTCGTAATGAACATGGAAGCTGAAGGCAGGATTTCAGCTTTAGAAAGGATTTAGGAGTCAGCTAGTCTGGTGTCCAGTGCAGCCCTTGGTGCCAGGTCCTGCCTCACTGCACGCCAAGACACGCTGCATGGACTTGAGCACCCAAGTTGACAGGTTGTTCCTTGTGCTGAGGCATCCCCCCATCTCCACATAGCTCTGATGACTCTAAAGCTCTCACTTGTATTGAGCTGCAGTATGCCTATTAGTCCTAGCCATACCCTCAAGGTCATTCTGAACTAGACTAAAGCCTCTTCTCCTGACAGCCCCTTAGATACTCGGAGACAGCTATTGGGTCTCTGTTGACGCTTTCCTTCTCCAAGCCAATTAGCCCCAGTTCCTTTAACTGTGCCTTCTATAATTTACTGACAAGTATCTGTATCGTCCTGCGGGCCTCCGTTCTGAATGCGCTTCAGTTTACCTGTATACCTGTTAAAGTGTAGCATCCAGAAAGGAAAATCACACAACAGCCTGACAGCCTGGAGCAAAGCAAGCTTGTCATTGGCATCACTGAAGACAGGAGAACTGATCAATGACGCCTACCTCAACATAAGAATTTTAGTGGTCATGGCACATCTGTCACTCATTTTGAGCTTACAGTTTACCAAGATCTCAAAGTCTTGTGAATGTTCTTTGTTTTTTTGTTTAGTTTTTTTTTTTCCTTTACCTGTGATATTCAGTTAAACTGCATCTCTCCAGATTGTGCTTGTGAGGTTGACTTTTTAAAAGCAAGGCACAGCTGGGGACAGTGGCTCAGGCCTGTATTCCCAGTACTTTGGGAGGCTGAGGTGTGCAAATCACCTGAGGTTAGGAGTTCAAGACCAGCCTGAGCAGCATGGCAAAACCCCGTCTCTACTAAAAATACAAAAATTAGCCAAGCATGGTGGCACACACCTGAAATCCCAGCTACTTGGGGGGCTGAGGCAGGAGAATCCCTTGAACCAGGAGGCAGAGATTGGAGTGAACCAAGATCATGCCACTGCACTCCAGTCTGGGCAATAGAACAAGACTACATCTCAAAAAAAAAAAATTAAAAAAAAAATAAAAGCAAGGCAGAGAACCGCCTTTTACTTTTCCTATTCAATATTATGTTGTGAGATACAGCTTGTCTCTCCAACCTGTCCCTCCAGCCTCTCAGCAGGCTCTCTGCCTTGTCCCAGGAAGCCCCTGTACATTCCCTCTGTTCCCTTTAAGGCTGTAGTAGTTGCCTCATTCCCAGGAGGCTGTTGCACCTCCATAGTGCACATCTTCCTCCTGGGGCTGGAAATCGATGTCTTTGCAGCAACATTCCTTACTATTCTCTGCTTCTTCTCTAAAATGTCAAGCTTGCTCCATTCATTCCTTCAACCAGTATGTAATGACTGGCTCAATATCAGGCCCATAGACCATGTGGATACACTGTTGGACAAAGGAGACATGGTCTCTGCTCCCATGGAAGAGGTTGCGCAGCTGAAGGGACAGTCAGTTAACAAATAAATAAATAGTGGCCCTATCACTTTGTTAGTGGAAAGGGAAATAGAATGGAATGACGAAAACTTGTGGGAAAGAAGGGATGTGTTTAAGGAAGTCCCACAAGGGGCTGATCCTCAGTTCCACTGTGTGGCTGACTTCTTCTAGTCGGCTTCCGGGTCAGCTTCTTTCACTCCCCATTGTCTTGCCCATTAGATGCCTCATGCCCTTCTGCGTTATCAAAATCTTAGGCATTTGGCCTCCTTGCATCTTCTTATTTCTTCCTTCTAACTCTGAGAAAACCCTATGACTGCTTTACTTGGATTTAGCAAAGGTCAGTACAAGAGGGACTGGCAAATTGGTGGTGGTACATAGACTGCCATTCTCACGGGCTGAATAGCTCTTGTGCTCTCTGTAACTTTCAACTCTCAATTCAGATAGTTACATTTCTATCTTATTTTTCTCCCTTTTGAGGTCATTTTGATCATTTGTATTCTCTCAGAAAATGAAATTATTTCATCCAGATGTCAAATGTATTTTTATATAATCTCTTTTTAAATTTTTTTATTTTCTCAGTTTCTATAATTATATCCACAATATTGTTTCTTAATTGGTATATTTGTGGTTTTATTATTTCCCCCATGATTTGATTAGTAACAGTTTATTTGATTTCTTTGTTTAGTTTTTATTTTTTCCCAGAGAACTGACTCTTGCATTTATTTATTAGTTCTACTCTAGGTTTTTTTTTTTTAACATAAAATTTTACTTTTAATTTGATTAACTCTTTCATTCAGTTCCTTTTAAATTGTATTCCTTTTATGACTAAAGTTGGATGCATGATTTATTTATTTTCATTGTTTTATAAGGATATATTCCTTCTTTGTGTTTTCATAAGGATGGTAACTGATCAAGGACACCAACATGTGCAGTCAGAGTCCAACTTTATTTAATGTCTTTAAAGAATACAAGTACTCCATACAGAGGATAGCACAGAGTAGAAACCCAATGGTATCCTCCTCTACTCATTGGCAGGGTTTTATTTTTCTCTTTCTTTTCTGATCTCTACAAGCTCATGTTTCATCATCATCTTGTCTTGCCCAATTTCTCTTGAGTTCTTATATTTCTGCTTTGATCCCTTGTTTTATAGAGGTGATGACTTTACTGTGTATTTTTTGAATTTTGTGACTATTTCTGACTGGTCATGTTTATCATTTGCTCTGAACCAGGCTTCTTTTCATGAGTATTCTTCATCTGCTATCACTTTGTTTTTCTATGCCTTTGCTCTCATTTGTTTGATATGTACTTGGTATACATGTTATGCCAATTCCTTTTTCATTACTGCTCACCACTGAATGAGATGAGTTCTTCCTGAACTGCAAGCTGCTAGAGGTTCTGAGAAGAGCCCAGGTTGTTTCCAGGCTACCAAACGTACCCTAGTTCCAGCATGGTATATGTGAGTAAATTCTTCCCCAGCT